TCTACTTTACGGAGTATCTCTGGATATGAATTTTCGTCTCTGTCGCTTATAAAATGAAGACGCATCAGTTAAACGCCTCAATAAATTAGTAAATAAGGCCAAAAATAGTAGGGTAAAAATATATAATAAACTAATTTGATGATTTTGGGTTCTCATAGCACTTCAAATGCCTTAAAGGCAGTTGCACGACCTTTCAGCGCAACCCCTTGCAAATTTTACCGTTGCAACAGTCTACTATGACACACATATATCTACGGTTCAGCCTGCCACTTGAACAATTTTGTTTCAATTTTCAGCTCTGTAACAGTCGACTGCAACCTGCCCTGCCGTGGTGAGCTGAGTCTCACGACGACGTTTAGTCCCAGAAGGATGTAGAGGCGGTGAGGAAGCTGCGGCAGAAAAGCGTTTTGTCGGAGGGCCACAGAGAGGAACCAGTGGCCCCCATAGAGCGCAATAAAGTCAGGGCGCGAGTTTTAGCAGCGCCTGAAGTTAGTGAAGGCTGGTTTTTATTGACTGAACTCGCAAACACGCGGCACTTGCTCACTCCCTTTGACGTACGAGCGTCCGAACGACTGCAGTTTTTATTCAGCCCGAGTGCCAGCCCTCGCCGACTTCTCGTTACGTAAAAACTTGTGAGGGTCAGTGGCTGCTCTGAGCCCATTGCAGCTTCGCCTTCATAAAAATGGAATTGCCACGTGAGCGTCGGCTGTGCTTACTGCTGTTGTAAGAAATCACGTCGTTGAACATAGATGAAGGCTTAATATTTTCACCGGGAATTTATTGAAAAAATGGCTTAACATTTGCATGCTATTTTATTTTTAATAGTTTCTCTGAACTTAAACTTTTTGAGAATTAATTTTATATATAAATACAGATAGATCGAAAACCATGATCGGTTTATGCGACCTCGAATCTTCAGGGAAATTACTGATAAATTTATTGTTAATAAACAATTTGATAAAATGTTTGCATTGATAACGTACGGCATCGTAACGACTTTTTTTGTGACTCCTTCGTTCATTTTCGAAATTTTCACCGGCATGGAGCATAAAGATTTCGGAAGAAAAAGTTCATAGCTTATCGAACTTTGCCAACTCAGATTGAGAATTTCGACTAATTATATGCAGTAACCCGCATGCATAAAATTCATGACATTTTTACAGTAATTCAACCAATTGGAATAATTAGACTGCTTCGAAAGTCTGATTTGACCCTAGAGGAATTTATTCTAAAAGTTCAGCGATCGGGCGCAAGGCCCCCCATTGGCTCTCCCTCGCCAACCAGTGAGATCCTTCATCAAAGAAACTTTTTAACTTCTAAGAGATTTTGTTCGATTTATCCATTGATCAAGTCTCGGTAAGGAGTCGCCGAAGTGCTCGCGGAGTGCCACCCAGGCCTCCGCTAATGGGATGACCGAGGCTGGCATCCTCGAGACCAACTCCTCTAAAAGTTTTCTCTTGTCCAACACAATTTTTGTTCAACTGTCGTGGCCGAGTCTTGCTTCAAAATACCCTCATAAATCTTCACGTCACTCCAAATTACCTTCCATCGTTCGAAAGCTTGTCGAGCTCTTGATATATTGTCTTGCAGTAATTATTGTCAGAGGCGGTCGATAAAGACCAGCTGGATCAGTCAGGCTAAATTGCTATTTTTTCCGCGGTCAAGAAAACCGAAGGACATGGCTAGGCCGGGCTGGTTTTCTGGATGAGAGAAGCAGAACATAGAGGCCATTACAAGGCTTAGATACAGAGAAGTGATGGGAGTCCTGCTCGAGAAGGCTCACTTTACTTCAAGGAGTCTGATAACTCGACGCAAAAGGCACCACAAAGGGGATTAGACGATATGGCCCGTGTAAGTTTAAACACCTCCGGAAGGTTGATGATACGGGATGGCTTTCTTGTCTCTTAATATTCATCATATAAACAGATGAAAAACATTGATAATAAAAACATTTTTAATTTGGGCTGCAGTAGGAACTACCAATATTTAATGCATAGAATCACAAATATTTACATGACATACGTAAAATTTAATTTTCAATTAAATGCATTAGTAAGACGTAATTCACGAATACAGATATCTACGCCAATTGTGCATGTACGATGAAAATTTCCTATTATATAAATCTTCGTTAATACGAGGGAAAATAGGGAGACAAGATCTTTCGAAACATTAGCAGTATTTTATTACTCGTCTCGGAAAGTGAATAAAAACAATTTCTTATATTTTTCTCGTTGACTTTTCTGTTTCATGGAATCTTTGATAAGATAAGATGAAAAGACATAATATTTTTCTTACAATGAACGGCTGACGAGGTTTTCCCCATTTGAAAAGTTTCTGATGAAATTTAACACCAAGCAACTTTGCAAGCAAATTACAGAACTTCTTAGACAGTTCAGAGCTTGCAATGTGTTGAAAGCAGAAGCTTGTGCATACAAAATGCTAAAATTAAATGCAATCATAAAATTAAATAATGTCCAAGAAAAAGCGAGAATTTCAGCAACTGCGGTCTTATTTAAATGGGAAAACTTCCAACGTCTCGGAATAAAGTTGTTAGCTTTTTGGAAGAACTAAGGACTATTTTCTGGCCCGGCCTAAATAGAAAGGCCGTGATTTCACATGTTGTTTGCCAACGACAGTTGACAGCATCAAAAAATTGAATGAATAATTATCAGCAGATTAATGTTAAAAAATTTAGAGGTACGGGAAATATACTCTAAAACAGAATGGACAACTTAGTCTAGAAATATTTTGGAAGAAAGAACCATCCAGAGCAGAGATTTCATGCATTCTGTCGAGGATAGAAGTATCATCGGCAACGTTGGTTCGGAACTAGCTTTTCGAATAAAACGTTATACATCAATGTTCCTACAACTTGTGCAATACATCCATTGTTTAATTCCACTAAGTCGATCTGTAGAGCGGAGAAAATATTTGCTCGAAAAATAGGCATTTTTGCGAATACAAATTTTCTGGAACTTCTCGTTCGGGAAATAAAACACGAAAAAATCCTGTTAGTCGTTGCCCAAGTACATTATTGGCAATACCAGTGAACGATTTCGTTGAGAAAGACAAATTTTCAAGAAGAATAAAAAAATCTCAAGTAGTGGATGCCAAGACCTCATGCATCACCTGTACGTACACTCGGCCTAATTATGCTCGGGTTTGCAATAACTTTTGATTTCATGATTTTAATTTCAATTCTTCATTTCATGATGAAATAAGGAACTTTAAAACATGCGTTTTTTCTATATCAATTTTAAAAATATTGCTGCATGTTCGAGGCTTGCCGAAATTTTAATACTAAAGTTTCCAAAGAGTTAATTCAAAATTTCCGGACAACATGAAGTTTCTACAAGCACATCATATTATATTTGTCAAATAAAATAATGATTCAAACATTTTATTGCAATTTATTGGCAAAAATATTTTAGTAAATGAATTATGAACGCATAAGAAGGAGTGTGAAACTAACTTACCGAAGTAATTCGATCATTAGATAAGTGTGAATTGAATGCAAGATATGGACTGACAGGTAAACTTAGATGCTAGACAGAAAAGCGACTGAAGGTCGAAACTAAAATGTTTTAAGTATCATCTCTACACTACACTGAATCATCATTACACTAGGTCCTAGCATTAAAAGAACGATCAGGCTCCTAAAAGTCAATCCCTCCAATATTAACACAATCGAGGGTTTATGGAATTTTGCCTGAATGTGGCCTCAGAAAATCACAAGCCGAATTATTTTTGCATCGTTCCCATCCCATGATGCTGAAGAAATCTTCTGCATCATGTTTTAGTAGCATATAGTAACTGATAAATTTTTTTAATGCTTACTTATATTTACCTTCGAATAATATTGTTCCTTGCAAATACATATGTACCAAGGCAAGCATCTTGGCCTTCTCGCAAAATCAGTGAAAAACTCTACTGCAATATTCTCCCCAGGCTTCGCACCTCGCCTTTGAGCTGACGCTCAGAGGAATGGAGGACTTAGGGCGAACGTAGTCTTCTTATTGGAAAGGTGTTGAGTTTCTTTTAAGAGAAAGACACGGTCTTTGACTACCAGATCGGAAATTGCACTTCCTCCAGTCCTAATAACGAGTGAACGAATAGCCGCTCAACAATGGCTTCACGACAATAGAGACAGACATGCGAAACCCTCCAGACTTTCCATAGACGCACGTCTGAAAGCAGTTCTAAGAAATATAATTAAGCGGATGAATTGCATTCAGGCCCGAGCATCGTCATATTGAGAGGATATCAAACAAAAAATGACAATGGGTGAAAACGGAATATGAGATGAACATTTTTAGCGCCTAAAGAGCTGCGTGATCTTATTTAGGCTGCCGGTGGAAGCTCGATGCGTCTTGGCATTTTATGAATCTGATGCGGACCAAATCTAATAATATGACGAGTGGTCACAAAAAAAAAAGAAATACGAATTGACTCTGAAGGTAAAGATTGCATATTGTGGTAACATACATTAGAAACCATTAAGAAGCCCACGCATGCCCAGCCTCCATCCTATTCTGAACGTAATTAGTTCTAGCTCATCAAACTAATGACTCAATAACGAGGTAATTGTGTTCTGCGTTCCGGCTTAACGATGGGCGATTTTCATTCCAAGATTACGGATTGAAAGAATGAGAGAGGAAATAAGAGTACAGACAAAGCCTGCAAAGAACATTACCGATAAATACTAAACATAATTAGAATTTCAAAAAACTCTTCGATGATGCTTGCTATAATATTCGCACCGAATCATCGAAATCTCATCACACAAGGATCATCAGGCACTCATTGGGTAGCAAATTATTATATAATTTAACGATAAAACTCATAATTGCTTTTTGATTTGTTTTTGAAATATACATGTCAGTGCAGCGCTGTCGAACTCGTTAAGTTGTGTATTAAAATGGAAAAAGTGTCTTAATTCTAAGTTGTGTGGTTCATCACTACTTTGAAAAAAATGAACATACGTATTTTTTACTCACATCAACGTTGACACCAGGGACCTTAAAATACGTCTTGGGCTGTGGGTTGCCCGGTATGTACTGGTAGAACTGACTGTCTCCCTTGTACCACTTGAGGCTGTACAGCGTCTCGCCCTCCAACGAGTAATGGCACGAGAGGCGGGCTTCAGAGTCGCAAGTTCGGTACCGCGGCACCTTCACCTCCACCAGGAGGGAGGACGCTTCGGGGTATCCTGCTCGGGTAAAGTAAGGAGTGTTATTAAAGACGGTAGCGGTTCATAATGTAGAGCTACGAGTGACTTTTAATTTCAAGTCATGATGATTCTTGCTCCATTTGGCTCAAATGCGAGCAGGTTCAACGTTCCTAGTGAACTTAGGGCGCAGGTAACCTGCCTAACGACGGCTTGGAGGCAGAGGACTACGAAGGCTGCGCTTCAGCGTGACCGAGGACGACGACGTTCTAAACTTGTCTTTAGGTCATAAGATTGATGTTTTGAGCGTACTCTGGCCAAATAAATACAATTTGGCTCAATTCCCCGATTCTACTCTCCAAAGTGCGGATGTGCAAATAGATATATTGCCGATAAAAGAGCATACCCTCGATATTCATCGTGCGGTGCACCTGAAATATTTTAGTGACGGGAGCTTGAAGAGTCTAATATTGGTGTTAGTGTATGAGTAATTATAAAAATTTAATTTTGTAGCAAACTTACAGTAATGTATTAATACATTTTAAATATGGAAATTGAATACTAGTTATAAAACGAATTATGAATGAAGATTCATCGTAAAACAAGTTTCTGTATTCGCACGACTCTGATAATAAAAGCTTAACAATAGCTAGAATAACTAGCTCATTGCTCGCCGGAGTTGAACGATGTGATGAAGGGGAATGCAAACCTCAAGGATTTGGAATACTGCGGCTTGCTAACAGTAATCAATGAACAGAACAAATAGTGAGCTGGGTTTGGTTAGAGCCAAGTTGAATTAGTTGTGACATTTTGAAATCTAGATTCAAAGACGAAAAAATCGAGTTACAATTCAGTCGACTCCGATTATGACAACATCATGGTTTTTTAATGAGTTGTATCTCAAGTCTAGACATATTATGCGAAATTAAAAACTTTCAATTTTTCCACATATATAGCTCTTCCAAATAAGGGCAGGAAATAAACACAGTGTGATCGGATACTGTCTTCAAGAAGTTGTGTAAAACTTCTCAGATAGTGTTTTCGTCGTGCGATGCAGGAAAACCATTGACACCATCAAGGTGATATTTTCTTGTTTCTGCATTAGGAGACAAGAATTCATTTTGAGATGCAGCTCTATAGAGGATTTCCCAGAAAAAGGTAAAGATCTAGACCATTGATCGAGAGAAAGATCTAGAGGGTAGAGATCCCGACGAAATGAACTGTGTTCCACAGTTGATGACACGGCCTAGAAGCGTGCCGAGAAACCTTCTCCCGCCGTGGTGCAATGGGGCGTGTCTGTATCATGCATACCTCACAATCTCTTTCGTGTTGCTGTAGACCTGGATGCTGGCTATCTCTTATAAGAGATGTCACTGATGCAAACACCAGAGCTTCATTAATTGTCTGACTAATAAATAAAATGCGTTTAAAAATTACTTCTTAAAGACAACACCTCTAAAGAATACAGTGCATCCGATGTTACACATCTGCAATGAATTTCTAATTTTATTTCCATATACCAAAAAATTATTTTAAATTTTATTAATAATATTTTAAAAAATTATATATAATATATAAATTATAAATAATATAATATATTTAATAATATAATATTTTTTAAAAATAATTTTTTTTGAAGTGTGTTAAATATCGATTATAAAATTTGTATTAGACAGACAAACAAACAAACAACATGAAGGGAATTTAAAGAGAAGTGTTGTATAAACAACAAGGACAACCGACAACCTGGGGCACATCAATCAAGGGAACACAGCACGATACAAAGTTGAACAAATCAAGTAAAATTGCACGTGTCTGTATATTTGGTCGTGGAAAATCCAAATAATGATTCTATTTCTATTAAATTTAACGGGCTTTTCTGGATCAATTATGATAATTGAGAAAGAATAATTGGGAACTATTTTAATAATTGGGAGTTTTTTATCTTCATTGATGAACGGACTGATGGACAACAAGGATCGTCCCATCAGTAATTGATACGATACGATAATTGGTCCAATTTACTGGAAGTGGTACTGTTACGAGCGTGTAAGTAAAACCGTAAACAGTAATACCGTTTTGAAGGCGGTGGGACGGCTTCGCTTGGTATCCAAACGTTTGATACGTCGGTAATCTATACCAGGTTTCTAAAGAACAAGACTCTGAGATATTGAACAAATTATAATGAGAAGTGTACCAGACTGCTGCTACTCTCTGTAAGAGTTTTTTAGCTAGAATATGTATGGGCCCGGAGCTTTTTTAGCTGTATTAAGCATGGGACCATAGCTCTGTTAGCTGTATTAAGCATGGGACCATAGCTCTGTTAGCTGTATTAAGCATGGGACCATAGCTCTGTTAGCTGTATTAAGCATGGGACCATAGCTCTGTTAGATGTATTAAGCATGGGACCAGGGCTCTGATAGTTGCAATAAGCATGGGACCATAGCTCTGTTAGCTGTATTAAGCATGGGACCATAGCTCTGTTAGCTGTATTAAGCATGGGACCAGGGCTCTGATAGTTGCAATAAGCATGGGACCATAGCTCTAGTACCTGTATTAAGCATGGGACCAGGGCTCTGTTAGTTATAATAAGCATAGGACCATAGCTCTGTTAGCTGTATTAAGCATGGGACCAGGGCTCCGTTAGTTGTAATAAGCATGGGACCATAGCTCTGTTAGCTGTATTAAGCATATGGGGCCATAGCTTTATTAGCTGTAATAAGTATGGGATCAGGGTTCTGTTAGCTGTAATAAGCATGGGATTAGAGCTCTATAAGCTGTAATTGATGAGCGTCATCTCTCAATAAACCTAGTTTCTAAAAAGATAAATTGACTAAATGATTTATGCGACGATTGATTGGGAATATTCAGGTTAAAAATTCTTAGGTTGTAGAATAGAAAAGAATAATTTCGGGGCCTGTTTAGTTATATCAACGCACGGGATGTCGAGTAAGAGTTTGAAAGTCCTTCAGTGTGCGTCGAGCAAATGCCAAGAGGAGCAAAATCTCATCTCAAATGCCATTGAAACTTTTGAACAAAAACCGCTTTGCTAGATTTTGAATTTTGCAAATTTACACTCTGGCTTCCTTAAAAAAACTAGGACTTGTTTCGTTTACTGAATTAATATCTCGTTTCCCGTATCGTTGCAAGGACACCCTAGAAGAAATGTCTTTGTCATCACTCCTTGAGCTGTTCTAGTAACATTGCAAGGACGCTCTAGAAGAAATGTTTTAGTTATAACTCTTTTAGCTGCTCTAACTCCATTTAGGAGCACTCGGCGTAAGATGGCCGCACACTGCGGGGAAATTTTAGAAGCTTAGAATCATTTGTATTCTCAGAAGCTCATTGCAGGGATCACTGGCCTGAGTATCGCCGCATCCTCGATTGACAGGCGCGTCCAAAAAAAACTCTTTCAAGCCCAGCGCCTGTGAGATCTTAACGTTGTGCAGACTCGCTGCAGATCCTCACGGTGATCCATCACTGATCCACGAGCCACTGGATCTGCATTTCTGATGCAGCCTCTACAATTTCGTGGGAAATATCCCACTCGGGTGCTTTAGAGGAATTCTGCGCCCTAATGTCCCTCGGGAGAGGTTTGGTGATGGTTTTGATGCCGCCGCCTCTGCTTTGTGTTCTCGTTGCCGAACTTTTGCGGAGAATTTCGGCTGACTTCATGGATGGCACTTCTTTTTAACGAAGGAATAAAGAGAAGGAATTTCTGCCTGAAGTTTCAAAGCTACCGGAGATTAAAACCAGCCAGCTGGAAAACGTTGATGAACTCAACGCTTGCGTCAGGGACTAAAATGTCACTCACATTAAAAAATATTAGAGGTCAGAAAAAAACTACACTCTCGAGCTCACATTGTTGATGGCAATTTTCAAAAATATCATTAATTAGAAGTCCACAAAAAATTATGAAGTCTTGTAAGATTGCTGCTCGCATTTGCGTTCTCAATATTTACATCAGCGGCAAGATCTTCCATTGGAGGCAATGCAATGTTTTGTTACAACTTTGCCTCAGAAAGGAAACTTGGCCGGAACTTCCTAGCATTTGCTCACAAACAAGTGGATGGGCAAAAGTTCCAATGAGTGATGCTCGGAGCAAATCGACTCAAAGGTGAGCTTTGAGTTTCGAACCTCAATCTTCAGTTCAATCGTCCATTAGCACAAGAAGCTCAGCACGCCAAAAGTTTCGTGGAACAGAAGTCGAGTGCATCGGCAATCCTTGGTCGGTGCCAGGAGCTTGGCGCAACAGTTTCTGAAGGAGATATTGATGATTGATGCAGTATCTATGCAGCCAATCCTTGAGTGTTGCTTCAAGCCGCTGGTTTCTTCTAGAGCATCCCTGCAGCGTTCCTAGCTAATGGCTTGTCTGATGCATTGATTATTGATTGAGATGGAAGAACGAAAAGATTAATCGAGTCTTTGCGAATGAGTTCTGTAGCCAAAAGCTTAAAGTGTCATCGTCAGCATTAATATATGTACTTGTCCTTGATATGTAAAGCTTTTGTGTCAGAGAACGAACAAAGTACATCATCAAATCGTTGCATGACTGGGTCCAAATTCTTTGCATTAATCCACCCGTGAGCTGATGTCCATCCTTAGTGCGTTAACAAGTCCTTAATCAAGACCATACCTTCGACGCATGACATAATTCATGTAAGGACAGCGTGGTCGCAATGCCTCAGACTGATCATGACGGTGCTCGACATAACAAACTTGCTAAGGATGACCATCAACTTGCAAACAAGCTCCCACGACAAGTTGCTTACTTGTGCTCATTAGGGGACCTGCAGTCAAGAAGCTCATCAGTTTGTGCTGCTCGACACAAGTTGGTTGTTTTCTGAAGTCTGATGCGCGGAGGTTACGCCTGATGTCTACACCTGACATGCCTCCTCTGCTCGTCCAAAGTTTGTTCGGAACAAGAACTTCATTGGTATTTAAGCCTTTGACTAGAATTAGCTTGTGTCAGCTGGTGTAATGGTCACTAAGATTGTTTATTCTTGAACTGCATCATACGTCATTAAGCTCTTAGTTAAAATTGAAGTTTTGACATATGTAGTTGAAATACTCACCGAATGTTCCTTGTCAGAAAAGTCAAGATTAAAAATACAATAACGGATAAATCGATGCTCAATTATGCTCATACTACTGATCAATGGCTTCACTTCAAGGAAGCTACGAAAAGTGTAAGCTCTTCTTTTTTCTATGGAGAGAACGAGACTATAATGATAAAGAGGCCCGAAGTCATTAAGGAACACAGCTGAGATTGATGAGAGCCTTCAGGTATCTGAAGGGACGGGGTTCCTGCTAATTACATTTATCCCAAACGGGGAGTGAGTTAAGATCTTCGACTCACCACTACGAATAAAAATTTTCATGACGAACGACTTAATTTAGGAGTTTTCTTGTAATGACTTGTTTGATTTGAGAAGAGATAAAATGAATAGGTTGTACATCAATTTGTGAAGATATTATTGATAAAGACGTTCTGAGGTTAGAAAATTCTTGTTTCTGTCGAATTAAATATTAGAAATTCACCTCAATTATTCCACTCACATTCTGGAATCTGGTGTTAATTAATGCTGGAATGTGGCGATGAAGATAAACATAAAATTTTAAGTTTCAGAACTTTAGGCAAGGGTATATATTAATTATAAAAGTTTCGATCAAAAAATATGAGCGATAATTCACAATAACTGCATTTGCAAAAACTGACACGTGTATTCGGGCGATGCCACTTGAAAAGAAGAAGAAATTATTCTGAGAAACGTTAGTCTGTCCTAGATACATTACGCCAGCATCAACTCTCGCATCGTATAGAAGAAAATAGAATGCATAAATTGGTGCAATTATTGGTCAAGGTCTATCGAATATTGGAAATTAGTCCAATTTTTCTGGAACAAACGGAATAGACACAAGAAATAAAACCTTGAAAAACGTTAACTTTTAATTCGGCAACGCGAGGTCCTTGGGTTTTATGAAGACCAGCCTCTGAAATCTCAGCTTTTGAAGTTGGTCTGAAATAGCTGGTGAAAATACGCTCGTAATTTACTAGTGCTCTCAAAAAAGCCTTAAGCCAAAGAGTGTGGCTTGTGGCTTCTGTTTTCGACTTGGTCGTATGAAATTGATGAAGGCTTCTAAATGTGAAAGCGACCAAAAACACGTGATTTTGAAACTCCTCCAGGAATTTTAATGTCGGCGGTAATGAAAAATGCACTCTCAGCGAAAGCTCAATTAGTGAAGTTTTTCTGTGGATTTTGGAGAACGTAAAATAATTTTTTACTTGGTTGACCTCTTTTATATTTTGCCTTTTAATTAAGTTTAAATATTTAACTGAATTAAATCAGAAAATATTTGACTAGTGATGCTCTTGCTTTAATTTCTGATTAAAATTGCTGACGAATTACCTTGACAATTTTGTTGAAGAGAACATTCCAATCATGCGATCTTGAGGATAATTCAATCATATCCAGAAAAGAATAAAGACTAGCCACTGTCTATGGATCTAGGAAATTTTTCGAGGTGTAGATTATAGTTAATTGAATAGTTAATATAGTTAATTAATTGAAATAATTCAATGTAAACATTTTTATTTTGAAATAATTTTCTGTAGCGTTTATTCACAATGAATCCTCAAAAATATGAATTGTTTGTAAGCCAGAAACCAGCTAAGATATTCAAAAAAAGTAAGTTATTGCTGGATACATTAGTAAAGATTGGCCAGGAGCCTTTCTCATCTGAAGCTGCGACGAAAATCATTAAGACTGCAGCAGCTGGCTGCACAAACATTAAAAATCAAGCAAAGAGACCAAACCTTGTCGTAAATATATTTTTTTGCAGGTTATTGAATGAGTATTTGTTTAACTCATTCCCAAAATGAACTCACAGAACACATATGAAATGAAACATTGTACAGAAAATGCTACACTAAATTTCATATTGTGTGAACTGGTAAGACGCTCTACTCCTGCAATGACACTTCTCAACTTACACCTTGCAACTCTTCAATTTGCAAATGTTAACTCTTCTTGAAATTTGCAAGGCCAAAACTTACAGAGAGGCATGAATAACTTTATTTTTCCAAACTTCACTGCACTCATAAGTGTTTCCTTGAAATAAAAGCAATACATTTTATTTTCATTTCAAGAGAGGAAAAGATAAATTTGTACGATCCTTTTGAGCAAGCACAATTTGCACAATGCTTTTTCTCACGTTAAAAAATACACTAGCCAACTCAATTTTTTTTTTTTTGGATATCGATGAATGCGTATTCTTGATCATTGTAAATCTCACGATAGCCGGAATAATTTTGGGAAATTACAATCTATTACCATTTTTAATTCCAGACAGTAAAAAAAGTCCGGGAAAATACTCATTTGATATTCACATATTAATGATAATCCACCTCCGCTAAATTCATCGTGCTACACTGGAGAAATTTAGCAAAGTTTTATTCAAGTACAACTTAATTTAATTTTTTTGCATATTCTGGATGCTGCATAGAACATGAAGCACTCACCGACTAGCAGGAAGAACAGCAGCAGCTGCAGACGACGCAGTGAGCCTGTAGGCAGGCTACCCATGATGGCTGCCGTCTCTTTTATGCAGGAGGTCGCGCCCTGTTCACCTCAGGCTGCCTGGGCCGTTTGATTTGCAGTGTGGAACTGAGCACAAAACTCACTGAATTTTCCTCTTAGGATAGGCATTGCTTGAGCGCGAATGTTGTTGATTATTTTCTGCACATTATGTCTAGCTGTGCATACGAGTAGTTGTTCATATTAAATTGGGCACTTACAAAGTCACCATTAAAGATTCGAGCTTCGCATGTGGAATTGGAGACTAGGCATTATCATCGATTTCGTCGATCCCACCAATTGATATTCCAGAAAATAAATTTGCGAGTTTTGTAATGGAACATGAATACTAAAGCACTTCACTTAAATTTAATTGGGGATATTTTTCATCATTTCCCCCGATTTTATCAGTCAATAAAATGAGCATAAGGATTTATAATTTTATTACGATATTCCTCAAGTGAAACTAGCAGTTATCAAGCCAGATGAAATGCAGGAACACAGAGTAAAATGCTTTACTAGTTCTACTTTATCATTGAGCAACCTGGGCTAGATGATACTCAACTTCAGAGTCTCCTAGGGATCTTCCACATTTTTCTTACTTTCCGTTGGTCTTGTGTGGAAATGATAGGAGTTGAGTAAACCTGGAGTTATTCTATATGATTCTCGTATGCCCTTTGAAACATGTCAATGGGTACTCATGCAGCGAGAGTTCAGGTCCGACACTTTAGCGAACTTTTCTTCAAGTCTTGTCCAAGATACGCTCACAGCAGCGAAAGCTTCACGCGGGGAAATCATTAAAATAAAACCATATGTAAGGAAAGGACATTGATTAAATTTTTAATTATATGAATAATCTCTTCTTAAAATAGTTTATAGATTGAGACTGGGTTATAAAATTCTTTGTTTCAAATACAAACAGTTTAATGAAATGGACCCATACTGCTTTAAAATGATCCTGCATGAATGTTTAAGCAAAATTTATATTGCATTATAATGCAACACATTACTTCCCTTCGAGCAAACGGCTACAAACTAAAAGAAACTGGGGTGGGAATAGGATATATGGACAAAATTGATTTGCATGTTATATCATATATTTAAGTCAATATAGTGATCATTCCTACTTATTGTTTTTCTCAAAACGATAATGGAGGCTGCATTCAAAGAACTATCATCGGGAAATTACATTCGTATCAAACATTTCCCGGCTAAAGGTTTGTAATTTACACACTTTATTATAGCTGAGAAATTCAAATCGTTTTAGTGTAGGCCATTCATTGGTCGGTCATGGGCTTCATGTATTTTCCAATACTGGTTTCACATTTTTCTTTTCGGCACCGAGAAATAGGAGCAGAGAATAGAATACTTCACATAATCACGAAAGCTTTTCTCAAAATTATTTCAATTGTAATCTGGAGGAAAGAATTAACACGATATTAGTTATTATTATTAATAGAAAGAAAATTAGTTATTGAGAACTTTTATTGTGAAAAAAATGGAGAACTCAATCGACAAGAATGTTGTCAGATTTTATATTTAAATCATTATTTATTTGCCTGATAAATTTCCCACACTCTATTTCTATAGATTGTGAAATCCTGAAATTATTGAAATATTGTATATCAAACAAGATATTGCCAACACATAAAAACATAATGTCTAAATGGGAATAATGAATGTAGACGAAAAATTCAATTCAAGGTAATTTATTCTATTCGCAGCGAACAAATTTTGTTACCAAATATAATGGCAGTTCTGGGGAACAAATACATAAGTACTGAAATATCACTGAAGCAGATATCAGAAATTTATATCCTAAATTGGCAATGCTTTATTTTATTGCTGTTCATATTGCAGAGCAAAACCCGGGTACATGCAGCACTGAAGTTGCCGTCGAGCTTAAATCCGCGAATGCGCTAATAAAGTAGCAAGCATGCGCTGGCTGCAGGCATATAGCTTAGGGCGACTTAGCTTAACTGATGGAGAACAGCGGTGTCCATAGGGAAATTTTATAATGGAATTAAAAGACTTGGGGTGTCGCAAGACGTCGCTGAAAGTGTTTCATATCGAGCTGGGGTTGGACGTAAATCTTGTTGTAACATTTAGTTCGTAGAGATGGAAATGATCCATGATTAGTTAACATTAATTCTTTTATTTATGCTTCAGGTCCAGCAATAATTTGACATGTTTTGGTATATTAATGACACCTTTAAGCTAATTTTTGTAATAATTCCGTGATCTCGAAACATCCGAGTAATTCGTAATGAAAGTAATGAAATTCCTAACGGAATTATTATTTACAACATCATTCTATCCATTAAGATCCGCAAGAATATTAATTGCAATAAAGAATTATCTTAACCCACACGAGATAGAGGCCTAGTCGACGACGTGAGCGGAGGCTGCGCTGGCTGCGCTGGCAATAATAAAATTTGTTCAAATCTCTGAAGTTTGATGAGGACGCCACGTGAGACTTTTGCGATAATTGTCTATCTCATACTATTTCCTTTACTCAGGCTCCAACTAAAAGACTACAAATTTCCCACTAATGTGTACTTATTTGTATTTTCGTGAAAATTTAAATCGTAAAAGAGAATATGATTAGTACAAAGATAAAGGCGGTGAAAAAAATATTTTCGATAAAATAAAAGGCATACAAAATTCTGAATTAGAGTTTTTTCTAGTAGACTAATTTAAAAAGCTCCGGTGTTAATATTACACGAAATCTTCATTGACAGACATGAAGCATGTTTTCAAAATATGAAATCTCACTGCCAAGCCAAATTTATTCAAAATTTATTCACCCTCCCTGGGGTTCACTTTCTTACGTGTTAGAAATGGAGGCAAAATCGCTTCAAATGAAAATCCGATACATTTTTTCCCGGTGGTGGCCCACTTTTCCTCGGCATTGGTTCGCAACGACAGATGGATGGAAATTGACAAGGAAATTATGCCACCGTGTGATTTGGCTTCTCCCTTAGCGAGGCATGAGAGCTGCTCTTGTGTAGGTCTCCTTGACCGACTTCCTCCGTCATTCCAAGAAGTGATAGAATTTCGTCAGGGAAGCAGAAAAGAGATACACTTTCGGCAATCATGAAGAGTGGCTATTTTGCTTACAAACTTTCAGCTTCTGGGCCAACAAATCAAAGCTTTCCATTCGTCTCTGCAGTTCTTCAGTTACGACAATCATTCATATGGTAATTTATGGCAGCACCGCTGTGCCTGCCTCAAACCACAACTGATTAAAACAATTCGTCTCCGCGGAATGTCGTCAATTTTAGCAATAGCAATCTTAGAGCCGAGGCCATTTCATAAAGACGCCAGCGGCGGCCACGCAGACCGGGAGCATGAATCACTGTCGCCGCCAAAAGCTTTACTGCACAAACTTCGTCTATAATAATGGATCTGGCAAACACAAACATACAAACACACCATGATCTCTTCTGGCCCTAAACTGAATATTTTGTTTGATTGCGGCCAATGATTTAGGTTCACGTTTGCGTGATTTACAACCCAAAGTAATCTATGAGAAGACTAACGCAAGCCTGGCCCTTTTCTCCGGGCTAAGAGATATTTTAGTACACTTTTGGATGGCGGGAAAAGTTTTTTAGAAATAATTTAAAAATATTTAAGCTCTAACGTGACACATTTTCTTACAACGGTAATGAGGAATTTTATTCACGGAAGCTGCACTCAGTATATTTTATAATATACATGTATTTCTTATCGTGAATAAATTTGTATCATGAGGAATAAATTGCAAAGCGATGTAGGAAGTTGCATAATTTGAGCTTAATTCCCACAACACGCCACGATGTCTAATTATTTTGTACTTCATTTATTTTCCTTTATAAAGTATCTATAAAATAACTTTTTTTTATCATGAATGCAAATAAAAATTCACCTATTAAGTCTGCCTATTCTTACTCTAGGTCGGGCAAATTTTTAAATTCAGCTGCCCTAAACATCAATGAAAATTTATGCTACTCGAAGAAAGAAATAAAGCACTTTAATAAAAGATATTTGAACACGTTCGCCTAGAATTATTAAATATTTGTGGTTGTTTCAGGCTTTCGAATATCCCATTTGGCAGTTAATTCTGCTGATCAATGTTGACGCGAATAATAAATGTATTCAAAAGATATGAGCTTTGGAGCAAAGTACGCGCATATCTGTTTGCATTTTTCATTTCTTTCAAGTGATGACTGGCCTTTGAATATCATTCATGAGCATCTATAATTTAATACTATTAAAAGAGTTCAAATTCCGTTTCAGGTCATGCTGTTATTCAGTTATTGAAGTATAGGTCGATCGATAAGCTACCTCGGCATGTTTGCTAATGTTAAACATTAATAATAAATGCTGGCCTGATGTGACGAGGTCTGAACTATGTCGAAAATTCTAGCGACTCATGTTTATTTAATAAATATATTTTTAACGCTGGCTTTCGACGGATAGCTTAACAATAATTGGTGTTCACTTCGTAAATATTTTCGCATATATTATGAGTTTTCTATTAGATGTCACATACAATGATATTGGCTTCAAAAAGTTGTTCGCATTGAATATTCGAGCACTGCCTCCATGCGTTATTGGAATCTCCGTTAAGTTTTCATTATCTTCCTGATGCATGAACTGCATTTTTTGCAGACATATTTTATGATTAGATAGTTTATTGTTTTTTCCATACATTCAAAATAAAGTTGCTGATAAATAAATTTAAATGAAGAAATAAGTTTCAACTTGAATTTGTTCGGAAAGAAAGCTCACGTGAAAAATAGAGCCCCAGTTCTAGGCTTAATTTATCAATGATGTTAAATATTTGAAGATCAACCTTAAATTATTAGGATAGATTTTCAATTCGCAGTCTTGTAGCTCGAATGAAATAAATATTTCTCCTGACAATGTTTTGTTCTAGAGCCTGGCGGGCTCGTTTGATTTCGGTTTACATAAGAGAACATAACAACACTCAAGAGTTTCGAGGACACTTGGAGTGATCAACTATTCGTCACGAAGGATTGGCAGGCTGCAGGAGAGGTCCGGAGAGGCCCGTCCACTATTAGCTAATTGGCGAGTGAGCGACCCGCGAGAACGGAGTGTAAAGTCCAGAACTGGAATCAACGAAGCGTTGGATCTCTGCTCTGGAACTACAGAGATTTCGGTAGCAGATATAAATTTTTCAACTGTGTAGGGATTTAGACAGCTTAAAACATTTTTTTACTTGAAAAATACGAGAGTTTTACTCTCGACAAGAAATCTGGTGAAATCTATGGAAGACAAGGGAAAAAATTGAAGTGTTTCATGGTTTGGGGAGTGAAATTTTCAATTTCAGTATTCAATTATAAAATTTCAGGAATTCAGACTTAATTTTCGTGTATATCTTATTAGGGAAATAGAAAAATGTCTCAGTCGCATGTCAAGCCAAGTTATGAATTGTCTAGGCACATCATCTCCAGGATATGGATTGCTCTCCATTGCGATGGGGAAATTTTTTCAAATACTCCGTACAAGTTCGGTAAAAATTATTGCGAGATTTGCTTATTTCATTAGAGCTAAAATTTCATATTCTGTGTAGTTTTCACGCTTGATGTAATTTTTACTGCTAACTGAAATTCATTCATGTGCTCATTCAAAGTTTAGCTGGTAAATTTCTCAGGTTCCTTCCGCTTTGCAAAATCAGGATTGTTACTAGAGTGCTTGAGTGCAATGAATCGTTTGTGTTCAAATTCAAAATGTCTTACTGTGGTCCCCATCCTGCATATCTTCGCTGACATTTCTAATTGCGACCATGCATTGCGTATAGCAGGGATGTGCAGC